AGTATTGCTGCCACCATTCTGTGATGGCAATTTTAAAATAAAAATTTAAATTACAAATAGAAGTTGTTCAGGCATATGGGCAAGCAGATCTTTATTTAACAGCCTTATGCAACCAAGAATCATATCATTTGATTTGCAAATAGAAAAAGTAGTCATGTGATCCATTCTCAGGAACTATGTTCGGATTGATTTATAGCTTTATAAGATTCATAAAGGGTTGTAAACACACTGACCCTTTAAAGTCTCCAGAATCTTTATCAGGAAAAAGGTTGTACAAACTTAGAGGTCAGGTAAACAGTCTAAAAATGGTCCAGATACGATGCCTGTGATTCTTGAAATCAGTCTGTAAGCAAAGTCAGATGAAGGGCTGCAGATGCAATGGGGGAATCAAACATATTAGTATATGGTCTGTGACAAAAGCCTTGCACTAGTACCTCTATGTTTTTATCTGTTACTTCAAGGTGAGACTCACCTTGAAGAGACTCACTATGAACCCTTTGTAGGCTCAGAGTGGAAAAACAGATGAAAGCAAACTGTCTTTCTATCACCAAAATAGAATACATTTCAATTTTTAAAAAAATTATAGCCAAAGTGATAAGTTCCAGTCTTCTTGCAACTACAAATTAACCATTAGCTTTTTGTTGATCGAGGCCCAAAAAGTTTAAAACAAGCATGCTTAGCCAAAGTGATAAGTTCCAGTCTTCTTGCAGCTACAAATTAACCATCTGAAATTAAAATTTGTGGTACTTAGCTTTTTGTTGATCGAGGTCCAAAAAGTTTAAAACAAGCATGCTTGAGTAATGCATAAAACTTGCTAGGACTTTATCTAGGAATGCAGTTTCCAGGATATTCGGTACAAATCCAGTCCAATTAAAATATACAATTCAGTCATCCTATCACAATATTAATTCTTATTAAACTAACCCCTGTTGCATTTGCTTCTCTGATTTCCCCTCTTCATCATTCGTTGGTTACTCTGGTGGATTCATATGATCTTTTTTGACCAAAATGCAATTGCTTGTCCCAAACAGAGCAAACCCATTTAATCAATCACTGAATGGTAAATTAATCTGTATCTAAAGCCTATTAATTCAGTGGGTTTACTCTAGTTGGGAACACCAAACGGCCATTGTATTCTTGCTTCATTTTAATGGGATAATGCCATTTTCTCTCCTTCTTTTTTAAAAATACACAGGTGAAAACTGATGACAGGATACTCAAAGTGGATCTTGGCCTTTTATTTTTACGGCTGCACAGGATGGACGCTGGGACATATTTTTGCCAAACTGTGGAACACAGCATTATTCATACAGTTCGAAAAATCACACTTGAAGTTGTTGAAGAAGAGCGTGTGGATGACATGTTCAACAAAGATTATGAGGAGGAGGTCTCTCATAAGATGCCCTGCCCCGCACAGAGTAGCATTCCCCATGGCTCAAGACCATGGTACAAGGAATTCCTGCAGCTAATAGGTTACAGCAACTTCCAGAGAGTAGAGGAATACTGTGAGAAAGTGTGGTGCACAGACAAGAAAAGGAAAAAGCTGAAGATGTCTCCATCCAAATGGAAGTATGCCAATCCACAGGAGAAGAAAGTGCGCATCAAACCTGAGCATTATCGTGTTCCCAGGCACACTGCTGACTCTTGATGGGAAAAGAAAATCAATTCATTTAAGAGAGCATTAAATGGCTTTTGTTTGGACCTAAAGAAAGGGAAATAAGTCTTGGATTTGGTAATTAATACAGGTTTATATATATATGAAATGTTGAGACTGGAAATGGAACAAAAGTGTTTTTAGTAAGTTATATACTTAACGTATGTTTTGATGGTTTTTTTAAATTCTGCTTAATTCTGGATTCCAACTGTATCATTCCATACTGAATTTTCCATTTAGGGACAATCTTGACAATCATTGTATTACACGTTTAGTCCACCTAGTCAAGCATGGATCATGCTTGTGCTGTATATTCTAGTGTTCTGTAGAGATATTTAAGTGAGCTCAAAAGCTGATGCTTCAGTAAGCAAGACAACAATGTATTGTATAGTTTTGTTTCAGTTTCACAGTTGTCTTGGTGATTTTTAATGTGGCCAATCCTATGTGGATGGAGCCTCTTTTTTTGGACTCCCGAGAATCCCAGTTTTCATTTCTGGAAAAGCATGTTTCTTGTCCTTACCAGTGCAGAGATCAATTTGAAAATGTGATGGCAGCAATGGCTGATCGCAGACATGATTGTAAATAAAAACTTAGAAACAAAGAGAAAGCAAAAATCACTGTGTATAATGTAGCAAAAATTTTGACCAGAAAGCAATAGTATTAGACTTCATTGTGAAGATTCACTTAAGTAATATCAAGAGTGGTTAATTTAAGATGGATTGTGTCCATAATATTTTGTTATGGTTTCAGGAGTCACATATCAAGAACCAAGAATTGTAAAGGTTGACTCTAGTTTTCTTTCTTTCTTTTTTGGGTTAATAATGTCTTGGAAAGTGGTAAGTATATTGTAACAGATTGGAAATACTCTATGTACTCACCAAAATGTAGCTCAAAATCTCCCATATTTATGAAAATGATGTGCAGCTGAAAGGGAGGAACAATCCGTTTGCCACTTCCTGGTCATATTTGTTCCATGCGCACTCCTTTATCTAATGAATCCCCCCACTACCACACCTATTGTCCCCAATATTTCTATGTCCCTATGGGCAATAAGAGGAGGCTGTATATCCATGTTCTGTGTCATAAAGCATGAAACCTATGCTTCTGACATTGAGCAGAAGTATATTCTGAAGCATGTTGGCTATCCAGAACATAATAATGCATTTCCTTCCACAATGGTATCATCAAATGGGGTATCCATCCTTGCTTTTTAGGCCCAAAATGTTGTGAAAGGTTGGACGGAAACAATGCTAAATATTTCCATCTTTGATTTTTTTTTCTTATTTACATCCAGAGAGCATCTTTTGATTATCAAATTTTGTTCTTTTTCTGTATGATGTCTGAATAACAAGAACTATGGACAGTTATAGCAAATTGTTTGTTATCCAAAGTAATATAGCTGCCCTCTTGTGGGAAAAAATAGCATTTTTATTCTGTTCTTACACATTATGTGCTCTAAAATGCAGCATAATATAAGAGACTAGGGCAGTGCCGGAACAACTAATTATTTGAGTATTTAACAGCATCTCTCATTTTTAGTAAAGTTCCACTATCATTGCAAAATCTCTCATTCACATGGTTTTAATCTGTTCTTGTTGATGGTCACTTTATGTTCCTTCACTTTTTTATTCCCACACTTCTCAGCCACATTTGCTCCATCTGCTGTTTAAAATTACACTTGTTTCCTCTAATGTTGTTATTGTTGCATGAGAGTATAGCAATGTTATTGTGCTGTCAGAGGAATTCAACATTCTGTAAAGTGATTCTAAAAAAGGGGGACAGCCCAAACCAAAAATTATAAGTGTGAAACTGGACTTCAGATCAGCACCAAATTTAGCATAGATGTAGCAGCCAGTCTGCTTTTGCAACACCAAATTTAGCATAGGTGTAGCAGACAGTCTGCTTTTCTGCTGTGCCAATCTTGGGGAGGTTTGGGCAAAGGGCTTTCAAATTATGCTTGTTAAAATGTAAAACTTTCCCCTGCCTTCAGGACTAGGTGACTCTAAAACATATAAAAAACAATCTTGCTTATCTCAAAGGAGAAGGGTAGACTGAATGTGTTCATTTTTTAAAATTTTAGCATAGGTGTAGCAGACAGTCTGCTTTTCTGCTGTGCCAATCTTGGGGAGGTTTGGGCAAAGGGCTTTCAAATTATGCTTGTTAAAATGTAAAACTTTCCCCTGCCTTCAGGACTAGGTGACTCTAAAACATATAAAAAACAATCTTGCTTATCTCAAAGGAGAAGGGTAGACTGAATGTGTTCATTTTTTAAAATTTGGAAATAAACCTGATTGCTAGGGCTGAAATACTGACCTCAAAAAGAACTTTCAAAAAGGAAAAAGAGCATGTATGGTACAAGCTAGCCAGCAGAAGCTTCACACAATGAAACCTTGTATACATTCAGATACAGGGGAGGGAGATATTTAAAAAAGCAGCACACTTGTTTATAGAGAAAGGTCCCATAACCAGACTCAAAAGACAGGTTTTCTTTAAAAGAGTTTAAAAAAAAAACAGCTTTGCTTTAAAGAAAGTAACTGACTGAGAGTCTTCCAGAACGGGGGGGGGATTTGTCATGTATCTTATCTTCAGTAAACATTTTCTCAAGATTTCTGAAACTAAAAAGTCTCCTCACATAGTTTTTCAAACAGGGAATCAGTTCCAAGTGTGGGGCAATTTGAACTTTTAAGCCTGTCAATCAGGACCCATTTGCTGACTCTCAACTAGCTTTTTAACTCCTTCCTGATCAAATAAAAAAAAAACAGCTTTGCTTTAAAGAAAGTAACTGACTGAGAGTCTTCCAGAACGGGGGGGGGATTTGTCATGTATCTTATCTTCAGTAAACATTTTCTCAAGATTTCTGAAACTAAAAATTCTCCTCACATAGTTTTTCAAACAGGGAATCAGTTCCAAGTGTGGGGCAATTTGAACTTTTAAGCCTGTCAATCAGGACCCATTTGCTGACTCTCAACTAGCTTTTTAACTCCTTCCAGGCTTATCAGAATCATGATTGCAGGTGGATTCTGTTTCTAGTTGTGAAAATAGAGAAGAAAATAATATTTTAGAAATTTTAAAAATATAGATATTGAATTTTATATATATACAGTCTCATTTGATGTTAGCAGAGCTTTGGTCCCTGTATCCTATCAGAGTCTCCTGTCAAAGTCTCCATTCCACCCATTTTGTAACTATACAATTGCTTGATGATTAAAAAACTCTAAAGAAGTTACATGCCATTAAATCACTTCTGATATGTGGCGAGTATATAAGTTAATAACCTCATAAATGTCGTATCATTAACAGCTCTGCTCAGATCTTGCAAACCTGCAGTACCTCATATTAGTTTGTTCTCTTTTCCTTCTGCCTCCACAGCAATATTTTTTTCTGCAATAAATTCTGCTGAGGTCTTGCAGCTAATAGCTATGGATTCCTTTGTTGAGACCACCCATCTTATGTTAGGTCTTCCACTTACTACTGTCTCCCCACTCCACTTTTCCTAGCAATATTATCTTTTTCTGCTCAGTTCTGTATTTTCATTATACATTCATAGTAGGACAGCCTCAATTTCCTCATTTTTGATCCAGTGAAAGTTCAGGATTCAAACTGGTGAAGTCTTCTGAGAGTTTTGTTCAGAAAGATTTGGGGGCCCAAAGTTGGGAACAACTGCATTAGATCATCTTGACTGCTAACATGTGTTCTCAACATTTAGGCTGCCCTTTGCTAGGTAAAGTTTGACATTCTTTTTCCTGCCAGCAATGTCGGCACAATATTGTGCAGTAGACATGGGCACTTCATGTTTATATCTGTGCAGATATGAATACAAAGAGCAGCACCACAGGTCCTCCCCCCAAAACCAGCCAGTCCATTCACCAGTCACTGCACAACATGCACATCTATCATCATTGAATGTGCCAATTGCAGGAGTAGCAAGGACAGCCTCAATTTCCTCATTTTTGATCCAGTGAAAGTACAGGCTTCAGACTGGTGAAGTCTTCTGAAAGATTTAGTGGCCCAAGTGTATTTTCATTATACGTGCATGGTAGGACAGCCTCAATTTCCTCATTTTTGATCCAGTGAAAGTTCAGGATTCAAACTGGTGAAGTCTTCTGAGAGTTTTGTTCAGAAAGATTTGGGGGCCCAAAGTTGGGAACAACTGCATTAGATCATCTTGACTGCTAACATGTGTTCTCAACATTTAGGCTGCCCTTTGCTAGGTAAAGTTTGACATTCTTTTTCCTGCCAGCAATGTCGGCACAATATTGTGCAGTAGACATGGGCACTTCATGTTTATATCTGTGCAGATATGAATACAAAGAGCAGCACCACAGGTCCTCCCCCCAAAACCAGCCAGTCCATTCACCAGTCACTGCACAACATGCACATCTATCATCATTGAATGTGCCAATTGCAGGAGTAGCACAGCTGGTGCTTCCCTGCCTCCCCATGCAGCCAACCACTCTAGTGAGGAGTCAGAAAGAAGAATCTCTCTGCTCAGCTGTTCAGCAGTTGGCTGTGCAAGGAGGCAGGGGAAGCCCAGGGATACAGATACAAAGTACCCATGTTGATCACATAGTAGGACAGCCTCAATTTCCTCATTTTTGATCCAGTGAAAGTACAGGCTTCAGACTGGTGAAGTCTTCTGAAAGATTTAGTGGCCCAAGGTTGGGAACAACTGCATTAGATCATCTTGACTGCTAACATGTGTTCTCAACATTTAGGCTGCCCTTTGCTAGGTAAAGTTTGACATTCTTTTTCCTGCCAGCAATGTCAGCACAATATTGTGCAGTAGACATGGGCACTTCATGTTCATATCTCTGGGGATATGAATACAAAGAGCAGCACCACAGGTGTCACCGTGGTCCTTTCCTCCCCCCAGAACCAGCCAGTCCACTCACCAGTCACTGCACAGCATGCACATCTGTCATCATTGAATGTGCCAATTGTAGGAGTAGCCCAGCTGGTGCTTCCCTGCCTCCCCATGCAGCCAACCACTCTAGTGAGGAGTCAGGAAGAAGAGCAGTGGGCTGTGCAAGGAGGCAGGGGAAGGCCAGGGGTACAGATACAAAGTACCCATGTTGATCGTGCAGTAATATCAGACCATTTCCTGGTGTTTTGAATTGGGGATATGGAAACCTAACATCCTGTATTCCCAGAGAGGTCCCATGTTGATCATGCAGTAATATCAGACCATTTCCTGGTGTTTTGAATTGGGGATATGGAAACCTAACATCCTGTATTCATAAACCAGAGAGGTTTTTTTGAGGAACAGAATTATTATTAATACTTGCTATTAGTACAATTCTGTTGTGCAGTAGCAGAATAGTGGGGCTTGATCACTGCGGTCTAGGGTTGCAGCCTAATTTTTACATTAGTCTTCCAAATGGTTCTGGGATATTGGTGATAAACTGTCTCATTTTGTTCATGAGGAGGTTGAAGCTTAACATATGTGGAAAAGTCAAATTTGAACAAAAGTCTCCTGCTCCTATATATCTAAGTTTCATTTAATATTTCTTTGGAAAAGACTTGCTACATTAATACAAAAGAAGACCCACTTTGATAATTACATCCAGTCTTGTTAGCATTGGGTCTGGGCAATTCTATTAACCTTGTTTTCTCCACTCAAATTTTGCAAATGTTGGTAAACTATGATGGAAAATAAAATAAATAAAATTCCCATCCATTTCTGATAATGATGTCAGATTTCTCCGTTTTGCTTTCTCCCACATTCAAATTGTTTGTGCTTTGCTAAGTTTAAAAAAAAACCCTGCCTGAAATAACAGTCTCATGTATCCTTACTTCTGATGCACTTCCTTCATGACTAGACCAGCAGCTTAGAAATGAGGCTGTTCATTTCAAGTGGAACAGTTAACATAACCCCAGTCTCACTCCTCATAAAACAGTTAAAGCAGATTTGGAAGGGGAAAGATTACCTCATCTAATTAATGGATAAATTGCAAAGTACCATGCTTCCATCATACTCTAAATGCTGGTCCATTCTTATTTTTTCTAATCTCTTAGGGATGCATAAGGAAAAAGAATAACTGTGTGGAGAATATGGTAGAAATGCTTCAGAAGCAGCATGTTTATCTCCTCTTGAGGGGAAAGACTCTCCTAAGGCCAAACTGTATAGTGTAATGGTTCCCAACCTTGGGTCCCCAGGTGTTCTTGGACTAAAACTCCCAATGTCTTCACCACTAGTTGTGCTGGCCAGGATTTCTGGGAGATGCAGTCCAAGAACATCTGGTGATCCAGATGGAATAAAGATGAACTACAAATGTGAGTTTAGCACTTGGGAGACCTATACTGAATATCTGCTTATTTTTGTGTAAATTATTTAAACATGCTGAACTGCCAGAGCCCTCCAAAGTTTATTGCATGTGAAGTCATCATGTGCATTCCACAAAGAGATCGCTGTTCTAGTGAGATAAGAGAGATATACTACGCAGATCTAGCCTCTTATACAAGAGGGCAGAAAAACATGCCAATGCTCCTTGAATAATCTAAAAGCTACAGCACTCTGGGGGGAAATGAAGGTTAATTTCATATGTAGGAGGCCATGCCAGGCTCCTACTAAAAGCAATGAACTGGCTAGCCAGATGATCGTTTCTCTATCCCTTGTACATTCATCATCTCCATCTGCAGTTGGGGAGGGATTAGAAGGGAGGGATCAGTCCCATAGCCTAAAAAACTATTGAGATGAAACAATCTCTTCTAGCTACTATGGGACAACATGTCAACTATTCTGAAATTACTACATAGAATTTTTCAGCTTCCAGAAGTATTTCAACAGATAGAATATACTCAACCGCACAACATGGCAACCCCATTGAGTTCTTTGAGGCGCT